GTCAGGTAAATTTTTCTCATTTTTTATTTTATGTGTGTATTCATACATAAACAAATGTGTAGTTGCATGCGTATTCTTTTCGCCATGAATTGATAAATCCCAAAAAGAATCTGAAGTGTGTTTTAATGACTTTTATGTCGTTCAAAATTCTAATTTTCTTAATGTAACAGGATCCATCAGGACCCATGACCCATGACCCCCCTTCCCCATATCCGCCAATGTGAATTGCGAGAAAATGTAACTCGGTCGTGTACTGGATAAACATTCTCTTTCCCATCCTTCTCCTCCTTCTTCCCTCCTTCTTTTCTTGCATTTCCGATCATACAAAAATCTCAAGACATTATATATTTTTTGCCAAAAAGTGGGGAAGCCCCCCCCCCCCCCCGGTTCCGCCGGCCATGACTTTACACTGTACAATTATTGGCAAACATTTTATAATACACTAATTTGCATATTCAAGTTATCATTTTTATGTTACTTCAAAATAAAAAGTTAATTCCAAATTTGATTTTTATAATTCATTATGTTATATTTTATAAAACAATACACGTATGCCTAAAGAATATTCCTTTTTTATTAGGTTTAATTATAAATAACAGGCATTAAAATGTCTTGGTAGCACATTCACAACATATTACTGGCCTTTCGAAGATCCTGGGTCTACATGGGCTTATTCACTAACCAATAGAGGCTATAATATATTAAATTCACACTCATATGAATAACAGATTTTAAACTGAAATTATTTCCTCTTAAAAAAATGCTCAGTTTATTAGTTATTAGGGCTATCATAATGTTATTCCTTTAAAATGACAATTGATGATTTTAACAATCTTTGACATTTAGTAATTTCCTTTGCAGGTATGCAAGGTACAACAACATTCAATCAATCGATGGAGATTTCGAAGACCTAACACAACTTGGTTATGTGTATGTTATTTTTAGATTTATATGCCTTTTCCTACTGATAAATACAATTCTAAGAAATTATTATCATATAACACAAATAATTGCTAACAACATTTCTCTCACCCTGTCAAGAGAAAAAACATGTTTTTAACGACGACAGAATTTATTTACATCAAGCAGCCAAACAATGCATTATTATATTTCGAGCTTCATACATTTAAAAATATCATGTGACCCCACTCCACCCCCTCTTGGACTGTTAAATTTGCTAATATGTATTATTTAAACAGTGACATACCCCATAATCTGATTTCACCTCTGCATCCACTCCTGTATAATGATGGAAGCATTATTACTAATAATCTAAAGACCTTTAAAATAGGCGAACAAATTTGTATCCGTTCTCTTTAACAGAAAATGCAGGCCATGTATGAAGCGTTATCGTTTATACAATGTTACTTGCACATATGTAAATCCATATTTCCTTGCAACATTTTATATTTTATCAAATTACGATTGAGAACATGATCCTGTATTTTTATGTCGACATCCAGTCATTCTGTCTTGTCAAACCAAGGTAATTACTGTGAGCATTCAGTTTTATTAATCACTACAGCCAGTGTATCCATGACTACCTATCTGCATCTGTGTTTTTTCTGTAGCGTGGCCTAAAACTCACATATTAAAAGAATCATATTACGCCTAATTATTCTTCAATACTTTTCTTTTCTTACCTCATCAAACTTTGCATAAAGACCAAGAATATTATGCAATAAAATCGGCATCATTTAAATTAGCCTTAACTGTTAGCCAATCCCTGAAAACACACTAAATACAATACATTTTGCCTGGCAGACATTTATGTTGATGTTCATAAACGCATTATATGCATTTTTTATATTTTGATATTTTTGGCTTAGGTGTATCCTATGGAAGTAGTTATATATGGGTGACCAGGAGGTTTTCATAACAAAGGAGGGATTAAATTAAATAACGGGATGATATGAAGTAATGGTTTTTATTTAATGGTTATAATAGAAAATATTTAAAATAATAATTATTATAATAGATAAATAAATAAAGAAAACATATACTTGAGTTGGTTATGTTGAAATCATGATGCAGTGCCAAGTGTAATTAAAGGTGTTAAAAGGTTGGGGATTATCCGAGATAATAATGCTGTAATTAAAGGTGTTAAAAGGTTTGGGAATACTTTTAATCAAACAATAGGAATGTTATTGAATAAAACAATAGTAGCTTGGTTCACGTCGAACTTTATCTAGATATACCCGTCTTGAAACATGATACGATAATCCCCTAATTGCGTTCGATGAATAGATAAATAAATAAAGAAAACATATACTTGAGTTGGTTATGTTGAAATCATGATGCAGTGCCAAGTGTAATTAAAGGTGTTAAAAGGTTGGGGATTATCCGAGATAATAATGCTGTAATTAAAGGTGTTAAAAGGTTTGGGAATACTTTTAATCAAACAATAGGAATGTTATATATGGTTACACTTGGCACTGCATCATGATTTCAACATAACCAACTCAAGTATATGTTTTCTTTATTTATTTATCTATTAAAATAATTATTATTTTAAATATTTTCTATAAAAAATAGGAATGTTATTGAATAAAACAATAGTGCCATTTAATAGGATTATTTAATAGGATTAATTGTTTTTGAGTAGGTTGATGACTTTGTGAGGAGTAAGGAATGAATTTCTATTGGATGAGAGATTTCAGTGACTTAATGCGGTTACTTGTTGGTTTAAATTGACCGGGTAAACATGAATAGGATGGTGAGGTTCTTCATGACAAGAAATGAATTTCTATTGGTTGAGAGATTTCAGTAACTTAAAATGCGGTGACTTGTTTGTTTGAATTGACCGGGTAAACATGCATAGGATGATAACGTTGCTTCGTGAAAAAAATGAATTTCTATTGGTTTAGAGATTTCAGTGACTTAAAATGCAGTGACTTGTTGGTTTGAATAGCCCGGGTGAACGTGAATAGGATGATGACATTGTTTGATTAATTTTATTCACTATAATTAAATAGAAATAAATAAAAAAAACATAGAAAATAAATAAAATGAATAAAATAAAACAAAAGGAATAAGGAAGCGACGCAACTAACGTCATACTTAATCCTTCTATAATATTTAGTGTATAAACAGTACTATAATAAAAATATAAGTTAGATCATCATTTTAAAAAAAAATCCTTAAGCATGGATGCTGCGCGGAAACAGCTAGAAATTTGGGTTAATGGTTCATTGAATATAAATTAAATGGTAAAATAATTAGGAACTCCCCGAGACTAATAGCGTAAAATTTGCATGAAACTCCGCTCGGGCCGTCTCGACTGACTCGACTTGTCATCAACCGAAAATAAACGTCTACAAAACTCCTGAGGCTCCTAATGATTTGATGTTACCATGCTAACAACTAATGGGCCGTTTAAAATTACAATGTACTATTTGATTGAGCTACACGATGCATTTTTATTTTTTAATTAGGCCTAAGTTTTTAATAGTTAAGTAGGTAGGCCTAGAACTACTAAAAAATATAAACGAGTTTGTATTGGTCTTGTAAAGAATGTGATTACTTACTCAAACAGTTTTAGATGTCCACTTTCAGGGGAAAGCACAAACAGAGGAAGGAAAAGACCAACATTTCTTTATTAAATAAAACAGGGTTTCCCCCATATTTATTTTTCTTTCGTTGTTGCTGTTAGTCTTAAGTAGCTTTGTCTTCTTCTCATTTACTTTTAGTCAAGTTTTCTTTGCATGTTTTCTCTTTCTTCTGTTTATGGTTAGCTGCTGATATTAATGCGATATCATCTGCATGCACAGAAAAACACAAAATAAAAAATATAAATAAAAATGTCCTCTTTCTTATAAAGTATAATGAAATAACCTAGTGGAAAAATAATCAATAGGAAAACTGGGAGGAACAATGCATCGAAAAAATGTGGGGGAAATAGCCTGGGAGATAACTCTCTAGGTAGAAAGAAATACGTGACGAAAATTAACAGGTGGCAAGTAGTTACTGTAATAGTGCTATATTCTGTAAAGTTAATCCTCAAACCACCTCAATTTTCAGTCTACTAAGTTTCAAAATCTTCCCATGCTTTTTCAGATATAGCTAGAACTAACTTAATCTTTGGCGTTTTTTGATAGCAAATTATGTTTTTTCTTAGATTTCAGTGGGTTAACCTGACTCAAAGACAAGTTTACGTACAAACCTAACATACACATTCATCTTCTACACAATAGGAGCCATGTTCACACACATGTTTTTTTTTTTTAATTAAAAATAAAAATTTAAAAGCAGATAGACATTTTGAAAACAAAGACAAAATAAAAAACAATTTCTCCAATATTACAGAAACTTTATTTTAGATGAAGTTGAAACTAATACAAAAACAAATTATTTTGTATTTAAAACAATTTTTTTAAATGAATTAAGAAACATTAAAAATTTAAATACATTAAAAATAACAAGCTTCTGTTCTTTTGACTTTTGGGTATTAGGTATTTCATTGTTGTCTTTATTTATAATAAGAAAATTATTTATCAAAATATTTAATTTAATTTGTTTTTATGGGTTAAATTTGGCCAGCGGGCCACCTATTAATAACCATGGTCTTACACGGACGTTTGGAGTCCATAGGAGTTCGGCCTTACCCACCAAAACCAGAACCAGTTAACCTTACCAACAAATTTTTATTAACGCGTCAGTGAATTAAGTATTCACGTAAATTAGTCCGGCAGCTTAGCAGATGGATGTGGACGTTCCGGACAAAAGCACCAATTTTTTTTACGTGCTCCTTATGGTCATAGCATTCAATTTTTGGTAGGAACCACCTCATCCGAGGTCATTATGGCGGCCATCTTGGATTTCCAAATGGCCGCCTAATAGAACCTATGTTTATCTATATCTCCGCTTCTAAACCACTTGGAATTATTATTCTAATGTCTGAAACTATTTTTATATGGTCAAGGAATATCATCATACCATTTTTGACCTGGTCAGATTGCCACAAATAGGTCATTTAAGGTCAAATATTGTATGGTATCTTGAAAATTACATAATTGTCATATTTTACATTAGAACCATACCCTGACTCTCAGAATTCAAAATCTTTACTATGAACTACAATATTTCATTCGAGGCCATTCTGGCGGCCATCTTGAATTTCAAAATTGCTGCCATGCAAGTCCTATGAGGTTCCATCCTCCTTTACCAAAATTTGCCTCTTGCAACCAGGGTGTAGTGTCCTTGAGTTAATTACAAGCTCCACATGATATCAGATAAGTGTTAAGTAATTAGATAAACAGAATCAATTTTTAGAGGCAGGCAGTAAACTGGAACTACTTTCACCATACTCCATGCTCACAAACACAAATGTTTAACGGAAATAATACAATGCAACACTATCATCCGGTTTTTGTTATAATTTATTAGAAACAAATTCAAGATGTTGTTAACAGTTTTTTTTTTCTACGGCTTCAAAAACTGCTTGGAAAGCCAAAATTTTGACTGAAACAGGCTATAGCAGACACTAAATTTCATGTACGTCGTCAAACCAAGGAAATTGGTGGTTCATAAAACAGATTTGTTTGTACAGTAACTATTTATAATAGGCATGCAGTACGTACGATTTGTGTACAATCGTCTTGTCTTTCTCGCCTAGTCGTTTAGTAGGCTAGGCCTAGGTAGGAATGACGCTAGTCAAGAAAGGCCTACAACATCGCCCAATTGAAGCCACGTGGGCCGCGTAGATCGTTATGCTTGTCTAAATCTATTATTTGTCTTCATTTTACAGTATTAATGTCATATTTAAAATGTTTATTATATAAAAACAACATAATTGTAGGCCTAATCCTACCGTCCATTTAAACGCAATCACGATCTACTATCTAACAAGTACATGTGAAAATCCCTGATTGATCATTCTGGGCATGCGCATGAACATGCATGGGCAGTTTTGAAGCAGCTTTTACGAAGTGATGTTTCCCATGCCAAAGATAACGATAAAACGAACGTTAAAACGAAATATATTCGGCGATTTTCTTACGTAAAACATATGTATTATATTACAGTAATAAATTAATAGAACGAAGTACGACCATTTTTCACCAGCAATGATAACTTTTACAAAATCGCAATCTGTAGATGACGATGTAAGTTCGAGCGTTCGGAAAAAAGGTAGTAAAAAAATTGCCGAGGCGGCCGACCTCTGAGAATTTTTGCCGACCTAATTTTTTCTATCTCTCAGTAATGTCAACTACTGTTTACAAATTTACAACACATGACACGAATCAAACCAAGCGCTCTTTTATTGTTTACTGCTGGGGGTTTTTCTTTCATTACGCTGGCAAAATAGTTCCCAATTACCGTTGTATTATTTTTATTTACAACAAACAATTATATATTAAACGATTCGTATATTTAAAGTAGTTTCTAAATATTTTACACAAAAATTCAAAGTGAATCAAGTTCAAACAATGATATTCATCCGCCATTTTCAGAAACTTCATGTCGTTGTTACCACGCCTATTACCAAGTCGGCCTAGGCTAGGCCTAGTAATAGGCTGTACTTTTGTAACTTCTCTTAAAACGGCTCGTTTTTTACGATTCGAACTCGTAGGTAGGACAGCTTTTTCTGCTAAAGACAAATGTTAACATATTTCATACGATTTTCAACAAAATAGATTTTTTTTTTCTTTTTTCAGTAAACTCAGTATGAATTGATTGTTTATTGCTATGGCAGCACCCTTCTGAGATAATGACTTTCCCAGCCGCGATAACCAGTCCTGTACCGCGGTCTGGCCTTCCTGATAAGCAGAGTGTAATTAGCTATGATAAGAGACCCTCGTTTGATTTCTCAGGTTTTCGTTGATAAGTCGGGTTTTGTGGTAAAGGAGGATGGAACAGCATGCTATATTTATCAATATATCGGTTTTTAAACCCTTTAATGAGAATTTATATCTAAAATTATATTTCATGGTCAAGGATTTATAACACTTGTGACATGGTCAGATGGTCATTAAGATCATAAAAGGTCATTTAAGGTCATTCAATGTATATACCATACCATTACCATTTTTTACCTGGTCAGATTGCCACAAATAGGTCATTCAAGGTCAAATATTGTATGGTAT